CGCGCGGCCCCCCCCCTCCCCGGGGTGGGGGGGGGGGGGGGGGGAAGAGAGAAAAGGCTGTGTGGCTCCGTGTGGCTCAGGAAGTGGGGCTGCTCTGGGGCCTTCCCAGACTCCACACGGCAGCCAAGCACTGAGGAAAGGGGGGGAGGGAGAGGGAGGAAGCAGGCAGGATGCAGAGTGATATGATGATGTCACTCTGTCATCCCGCAGGAAAACCTTTTTTTAATATAGAAAGAGACAATCTGTACAGCAAAGTCTAGAGCAGTTCTTTCGTATATTATGGAATTGGTAGAATTGTGTGAAGTCATTTTAGTGCTGCTTTATGAATACAATGAGAATTCACTGTTGATGGAGATGGGCATCCAATATCATTGACATTATAGTTGTTCTAAAGTACACAAAGGCTGTGTCTAGACTGGCAAGTTTTCCGCAAAAGCAGCTGCTTTTGTGGAAAAACTGGCCAGCTGTCTACACTGGCTGGGCAAAGCAAGACTTTAGCTGGGCTTTACCTTCAACTGTTAGAGAACTCAGATTTTTGATAAATGCTTTTTCAGCTGCCAAGTAAAGGAAACTGTTTTGCACATTCCTTAGCAAATGCTCTGAAGTAAGTCTGACATTTCAGTTCTTGTCTTGTCAGTAAGGCCGTTAATTAGCTCAAGGGATGGGCAGGGGCATTATTATTTCACATTTATTACTGGATACATTTTGGCTACATCTAGACTGGCATGATTTTCCGCAAATGCTTTTAACGGAAAAACTTTTCCGTTAAAAGCATTTGCGGAAAATCATGCCAGTCTAGATGTAGCCAAAATGTATCCAGTAATAAATGTGAAATAATAATGCCCCTGCCCATCCCTTGAGCTAATTAACGGCCTTACTGACAAGACAAGAACTGAAATGTCAGACTTACTTCAGAGCATTTGCTAAGGAATGTGCAAAACAGTTTCCTTTACTTGGCAGCTGAAAAAGCATTTATCAAAAATCTGAGTTCTCTAACAGTTGAAGGTAAAGCCCAGCTAAAGTCTTGCTTTGCCAGTGGATTATGGTTCTTTTCATGAACAAATCAAAAGTAGCCCAATCACTCAACTTTACCTTTGCAAAATAAAGCAGAAGGGGCTTGATTTTTTTTAAAAAGAAGAATTGCACTTTAAAATTATGCACTGGATGCTGGTGGAAAGTACTTGCAAGTATGGCAGATATGTAGCTGTAAGAAGTAAGGCCTACCAGTTAGAAGCCCAAGTACCTTTCAGGAGCTGGGCCTAGCCAAGCAAGTTGGTGAAAAGATTTCCTACTTTCTGATTTTATATGTCTCATCACATCCATTTATGAAACCTACATGGTGATTTGCTCATGGGTGAAAGAGGATGTAAAATTTGCAAGCCATGTGGAATCCTGCTCTCTCCCACTGCAAACATAGTGGAGGTCCCTCCCAACACCTCCTCCCTTTTTTTCTTATAGAAATTTGCTATATTAAAACTGTCAGCAAATAGAGGAGTGTTTCCATGCTTGCCAATATGTTGCGAGTCTCCAAGCAGCTAATGTATTCAGTGATTACACTGAAAACTGTTGCTAGGGTGTGAGAAGGAAACTTAAAGCTTAGTCTGTGTGTGACACACAGGTTACACTAGGGGCACTCGTGACTAGCCCAAGCTGCTGCACATGCCAGCACAGCCACGCTGCTATTTTTAGCATGCTAGCGTGAGCTAAGAGCACTGCTGTCTAGTTGCTTTGGGAAGTACATATTCAGCTGCAGTGACGACATACGAGAAGTCTCCACTTCTAAAACAAACTAAGTGGGAGAGCAGGTTTAACATTGCATTTGCTGATGATCTTTTATATACAAGTAATTTTGTAACATGACCAAATTGTTAAACTTGCTGTGTATTAAGTTATTTAGGCCTAATTTCTAAATGTTACTTTGTGAATTGTGTTTATACATAGTAATAAATGTTATTTTATAAAGAAAAAATGCCTATCTGTTGTATGATTAACAATAGTTTGGCTTAAGGACGACATATGGAACTTTATATCGTATCCTCCATTTTTGCTCACTCCCCATCATAGACTTTAATGAATGATCTCACTCTTTATCCCTTTATCTTTTGTAATAGAAAATGAGACTTGGGCCCAATCTCACTAACCCATTACCACTTCCCCTCTCATAGAAAAAGCATCAGTTTCATATTCTAAAAATACATTAAAATGGTCTGTAAAGCTTCCAGAGTCTTGGTTTGTTAAGTTTACATTGACTTTGTGACTCTTGCAAAGCCTGATGTCACACATCTATTATGGATGTGAATGTGTACCCATGTACATGGTTAACTGATGAGCCTGGGCTCATTAGGTAACCCTCATGATTACACAGACCCTCTGCTGCCTCTGTATCAGATACAGAGGCAGTAGGTGTGCGGGAGGTGGGAACCAGTACTCCTGGGGAGCACTGCCCCCTGGTGCTGCTGCCTCTGAGGGAGGGGCAGGCAAGCTGGCTCCCCAACACATACTGGTTTCCACCAAGCTGCCTGAAACCCCATGCTGCCTCCTAAAGAGCTTAAAAAAGCTGATTCCCCACAAGCACCAGCTGCTGCCTAGCCCTGTGTGTAAATGTGTAACTGCTGAAAATTTCAGTAGTTACACATTTACAAAAATAAACATTTTAACATCCCTCTATTCTATTCCCTACTGTTTTGAGATCTTGTCTAAATTACACAAGTTTGCCAGGATTGCTATGGTAATAAATTATTGTAGTGAGGAAACAGTTCATCCAGGATGCTAGTTTAAGATAAGCTACATTAGCAAAAGCATATTTTTCCCAGTATAACTTCTCCTAGATGATGGGTGGTGGTGGCACAAAAATGTCATTAACCACCATTACAAATATTTTAAGAATGTTTAGAAACTAGCCTAAGTACAGAAGACTACCCAAACTAGATAGGGAAAAGAATGGGAATGGTTAATTTATTTAACCAGATACTTTCTTGTCTTAAAGAAAACAGTTCAAATTTATAAGTCTCAAAATGTGATCTCTGACCCTTTCTAATAGGTCTTTGCTAACCAAATAAAAAATCTGCATGGTTTAACCATTTCTGGGCTACACAGTCCATTTTTCAAGGCCAATACTGGATCCATTCTAATGAAAATCTAATTTTGACAGAAGTCCCTCAGTTTGAATATATTGTTTAAAAATCCATGCTATTTAAGTAAGCACTTTGTTTTGGGTTCAAAAGCAAATCAGCTGTCTCTAAAACAAGTCTTAAAAAATACTAAACAAGGCACAGGGGAAAGTAATTTAACTGC